TGGATTTGAAACTTTTGAGCTTTTACTGTTTAAGAGCTTTTTGAGGTTAAAAAAATATTTAAAAGTGTAAGTTTTTAAGAGGGAAATTTAAATGTATGAGACATGAATAGTGTCCAAAAGCTGAAACTCCAATAATCCACACCAAACAGGCAATAAGTATGACATGGCAATATTTTGCCATCCAAGCAGCCAAGCGGGGTGTGTCCTCAATGGCAGTTAAGTCAGGCGAGCAATCCCAAACGGCAGTTAAGTTGGGGTAAGGAGAAGGGCTTAATTGCTTTGATCCCAGAGTTCAAGGGTTTAACTGCATCAGATAAAGTTTAGGGGCTTAATTGCGATTCTGAGGTTAGTTCAGGGGCTTAACTTATGGTTTTACCTTTTAATAAAGAGCGAAGGAAAAGGAGTTGAAAGTCAAATATAATTTAGTGGTGTTCCAACTTATGGATCGGAGTAATACCACTCCGCCATCACGTGAAGAACGACAAAAAGTCATAGAGTCAAAAAAATTCTGTAAAAAATTCTCAAAAGATGAATGGTCAAACAAACTTTCCACCGATGAATGGGCGATGGCAATTTCCTAGAAACCACTAATAGGCAATACCTCTCCTTCCGAAAAATCATAAAGGCACACCGTCTCCCCACAAACGACCTCATCAATAATATTGATACCAGCCCCCTGATTTTCCAATTCCGACTCAGGCATCTGGTTTTCTAGGACTTTTGGGAGAAGAGGTGTAGCTTCAGCCATTCAGCCGATTCCCTAAACCACAAAGATTTGTACTACTTGTTCCAAAAAGAAAAAAAACCCAGTAGGATGAAATTACAGAAACGACCTTCAGAATCTCTCCTATACCCTTCATCGTGCTCTGCCATAGTTTCTGTTGGAGGACTGATCTGATCCACCAACCGTGGGACTAGATTGGGAGCTTTGGGTGGGCGGCAGACTTGTTATTTGGAGCTTGCGGCTGTGAACGTTGACCTGTTTCGCCTAGAGGTTAGTCTCTGCTCTTATTTTCCTCATGAAATTATTGATTTTTTTTTTCTTTGTTTATTTTTCAGTAAATTTGAAATTAAGATCTAAAAATCCTATTGATTATATTTTCTTTTTTTTTTTTTTTTTTTTTTTTTTAATTCCAAAAGTTAGTGAAAGCAGAGAAGCTGTTCTGTTCTTTAAATTCTATAAGTGATCATCAAAGACATTATGACTT